GAATCCTCAAAGCCAGGGGTCCCACAGAAAGGTACCAGTCCATGGCCTGTTAGGAACGGGGCGGCACAGCAGGAGGCGTGCGGTTGGCGTGGGAGCGACGCAGAGCTTCATCTGTACTTTACAGGACACCCCATCGCATTACCGCCTGACTCTGCTTCCTGTCGGGTCAGCAACGCGCGTTGAGCGTATCTAGAACTGCGCATGCGAAGATTATAGGCTGCGCCTCTTATCAGATTCTAATGTCTGATGACCTGTTACTGTCTCCCACACCCCAAATGGGGCATCTAGTTGCAGGAAAACAAGCTCAGAGCTCCACTGATTCCAATTATGGTGAATTGTATAATTATCTCATTATGTGTTACAATGTAATAACATTGAAGAATAAAAGTGACAATAGGTGTATGCACGTTTGAATCACTCCCTGAAACCATCTCACCACCCCAGGTCTGTGGAAAAAATCTCATTTTCCCAAAACCAAGTCCCCCTGTGCAAAAAGGTTAGGGACCGCTGTCAGAGCTTTTGTAAAAGGATGTATTATTTATCCCACTAAACGACAGACAACTAAGACCCCAGAGCTAGTTAACATGACTTGTGTAAAATACATTGCTGATAAACACAGCAGGGCGGGGGTGTCACGCCCTAGGTGTGTCAGGCTTCCAAGTTCGGCTCTGGGGCCACTGTGAAGGTTCCCGTTTCTGACAGGATGTTATTGTGGGGGTGGGGCATCCTCCTGTCAACCAGAGACATCTGTCCAGGACAATTCCTGCCTTTTACTTCACTCGAGTCCACTCGCTGGCATCTTCCAAGTCTATTTTTCCCTCTTCACTCCTGTTGTGCTTGCTCGGCAGATCTATGCCATCCCAGCTATTATTTTCTTCCTGATCTTTGTGCAATTTGTCTCCCTCCTGCTTGCTTCAAACATTCACTCTTGCACAGTAGTTCTTTTCTTTCTTTTTTTTTTTTTTTTTGACATAGAGTCTCACTCAATTGCCCAGACTGGAGTGCAACAGTGCCATCTCAGCTCACTGCCACCTCCACCTCCCAGGTTCAAGCGATTCTCTTGCCTCAGCCTTCTGAATAATTGGTATTATAGGCACCCGCCACCATGCCCGGCTAATTTTTTTATTTTTAGTAGAGATGGGATTTCGCCATGTTGGCCAGGCTGGTCTTGAACTCCTGACCTCAAGCGATCTGCCCGCTTTGGCCTCCCAAAGTGCTAGGATTACAGGTGTGAGCCACTGTGCATGGCCTGTGCAGCAGTTCTTAAACTGGCATCCACAAAAGGTCTGGATTGAATCTGAGAGATCTGTGAACATGGACATGGAAAATACTACATCCTATTGTGAATATAGAGAACAGAAGTGGGGCCTGTGACTTTGTCACAAATAGAAAGTCACAGCTTTTACTATATCCCATTGCTGTTACTAGGAATATCTCATGATGTCATCTATGTGCATCACTACTTTGAAATTACCAGAGCTATTAAACCTGTCACTAGACCTGTTATTTAATCATTAATAAAAAGCCTATATATTATCATGTTACAAATTTGGTTTTAAAAATTATTGTGATAGCAGTCTTTCAAAAACTAAGGAATTCCTTGGTAATCTTGTGCATTTCATTTTATATACTTAAAAACATTTTTCTTAGAAGGGCTCCAAAAGCTTCTGCAGCTTGCCAAGGGGATCCTGGCATGAAAAATGATTAAAAGAAAACACACTATCATTGATTTTATGCCAGCTTTGCACCTCATGACCCAGCCCATATAATGTAACAGTGACCCCTGGTAAGAGGGTTGCACTTCTCCAGATAGGAGGACCACAGGATTTCTCTTCCAGACATGGAAATTTGAGTATGGATAGCGATACTAGCATAACAAGAGTAAACAGGAACACATGGTCACCCCACTCAAATATCAGGTATTCTGGAAACTGAAGAATTAGATAAGAAAATGCCAAGTAATTTACAAGAATCAACATAGAAACACCCTATCTGTAAACATGCTACTGATAAAACTAGATTACAATCCAACCAGAAGAAAATATAACTAATATGAAATATATCAGCTTCGAATGAAATAATTATAGCATATAATAAAATAAATACTAGTATATCACTTGCTATGGACAGGCATTGTCTTACAGCAGCCCTCTGAGGTTGGTTCTATTATTGTCTTCACTTTAAAAATGAGGAAAACGTGCCCCCATCACACAGCTACAAAGAGGCTGAGCTGGGAGCAAATCCAAGCACACTGGCTGCTGCCTGTGTGCTCTGACCCACTGTCTCTCCTATGTCTTTGTTAGGAATTTTCATGATCTGAATGGAATCCAGGAAAATCGCAGCTGGAATACAAAACATCAGTCTTTATCTCCAGCACTGTACATGGCAGAAACTGCTTTTATTCTAGATGTCTAGATCCAGTTATTTGAAATAAACTCTCCAGAATGGGGAGAGAAGTCTGGAAAGTTTCCATAGAACAATCGAAATATCCCTTTATAACTCTTGAGTTGTAAGTGATGCTATCTCCAGGTATTAACCTTTTTCTCTTAGCTGCAACCCCTAGCTCCCACATCAGAGGTGGCATGGGCCAGTGATTAAGAACCGGGTTTGAAGTTCCAATTCCAGGCACCTATTGAAGCTGGATGACCTTGACTAAGTCACATAGCTTTTTTGCACCGCAGTTTTCTCATCTGTAAAGTGGAAATAATGGTAATGGAATGCAAAATGCAAAATGGAAATAATGGTGGCGACAAGTAAATGAGCTGGGCAAATACACAATAAACAAGAACAATTGTTATTATCATTTTACTCGTCTCTATTCTGACAGTTTTGTCTCCGAACTCATCTCTCTTGTCTTTTTCTGAGTTCTTCCATGTGTTCAGGCATTTTCAACTTGACTTCTTCAATATTTTTCATCATTTGGTAGCTATCTTTGGGTAACAGTTATAACATTTGCTTATACAGCATTTGCCCCAAAACTCATTTTGCTGATGCGGCATAAACTGACAACTGGAAGTGAGAATGGGGACACGTGATCTCGTGATTATCACACATTCTCGATTTACCCACTCCATAATAGCATTTGCGCCAGAGCTCTTCATTTGCATTTTGCTGAGCCAACGTGAATTTTTAGAAGTTCCGAGGTGTCCAGAGAATGCTTCATTAAGAATTGAGTTGACAAAAAATAGGATAGATCATTTATCACCTCTGTAGAAACAAGATGAATTTCGTTTACAACTGAAAGAAGAAATTACAAAAGATTGTTGGGCCTAACCACATGAAAAATTAAAATACTGCAAAAGAAAAATAATTCAATACAAAAAGGGAAGCCTGGGAGATGTTTACATCAGTATAAAAAGGGGTTCATAAATATGCTTTATAAGACCCATCTTTTAAAAACATCTTTGTTGCATCTCTGCTAAGAAGAAGAGTATCACGACTTAATACAAACTTACATCAAAATAAAAGTTTCATACAAAAAAAACCTTACTATACTCTGTTGATGGGAATGTAAATTAGTACAACCTCTATGGAAAACAGTATGGCGATTTCTCAACTAAACATAGAGTAACATTCAATCTAGCAATCCCACAACTGGGTATAAGGAAAAGAAATCATTATATCAAAAAGACACCTACACGCGTATGTTTATTGCAGCACTATTCACAATAGCAACGATATGAAATCAGCCTAAGTGCCTATCAATGGGTGATTGGATAAAGAAAATGCGGCACGTATAGACAATGGAATACTATTTAGACATAAAAAAAGAATGAAATCATGTCTTTTGCAGTAACGTAGATGGAACTGGAGGTCATTATCTCAAGTAAAATAACTCAGCAACAGAAAGGCAAATACCACATGCTTTCACTTGTCAGTGCGAGCTAAGTAATGTGTACACGTGGACACAGAATGGAGTAATAGACATTGGAGACTGGGAAGGGTGGCAGGGTGGGAAGATGGAAGGGGGTAAGGGATGGTAAGTTACTTAATGGGTACAGTATTCACCACTCAGGTGATAGCTACACGAAAAGCCTAGACTTCACCACTATACCATATATCCATTTTTAAAAGATGAACTTTTACCCCTGAAATGTATACACATTTTTTTCACACAAAAAATCTTACTATATGCAGAATGCTCTGATATTTCTATTTTATTCTACTCTATTTTTTTCTTTAATACTAGTCATGAGCCACAATATATTTTATAGTCTACTAATGAAATCATGACATAATTTAAATAAACAGTGATGTCAAGAGCTCTTATAAATACATTACTGCATAAAGAATATATATAGATGCTTCAGATAGGAGTAAAAACAATTTCTAAAATATGAAAAAATCTCTACTTCAGTACTCACTCAAGATACACAAATGAATAACAATGATAAAAACACAATTTCCATTGACTAAATTAGCAAAAAAATTAAAAGTGATGGTGATGTCTGATGCTGATGTAAAGACAGTAAAGGGTTTTCTTTAATACAGTTTTTTATTTATACCCTCTTTAATTCAAAACACATTTGAGGTGGTTTTATGTACCAATATTACCAAACAGCCAATGGCAGAATCAATGCAATTTTGTTTGAGAAGTAATTTGGTAGTACGTTTGGGAAGCCACAAAAATGTTCATACCCAAAAGTAATTCTACTTCTGGGAATTTGTCCCACTGAAGCGATTCAAAGAAAAAGAAAAATCTCTATGCATAACTTTTTATATCATTACTTAAATAATGAAAAACGAGAAACAGTCTAAATAGCCAAGAATAGCACAATATTTAAATAAGCTATACTACATCAACTCAAAATATTTTGTAGCCAATAAAATAATTATGATGACTATAAAGCAACGGGAGAAAATCCTCATGCTAACAAATGCAAAAGTTATAAAACAAAACTCTTCTTGTGTTTCAGTGACTATAGCTGCATAAAGATTACCCAAAAACTTAGTGGGATGAAACAACCATGTATTACGGGTCAGAAATTCAGACAGCTTACAGCAGTATGGCTTATCTGGGCCCACAATGTCAGGGGCTGGATTCACATGAGGCTTGTTCATTTACGTGTCTGGCAGTTGATGTTGGTCATCTGCTGAGACCTTAGCTGGCTCTGTTGGCCAGGACACCTCTGTTTGGCTTGGGCTTCCTCAGAACATGGTGGCTGGGTTCCAAGGACAAAAGATCCCAGCGAGGGAGCAAGGTAGAAGTCAGCTAATCACATATGACCTAGTCTTAGAAATTGTGCAGTGTCATTTCCATTTCCATTCACTGAGTCACAAAGTCTTGTCGGTTTCAAAGGGAAAGAAAAGCGATGCCACCTTATGTGATGGGAGAGCAACAAGTTTCTGGAAAAGCATACAGGACTGGAAATACTGCTATGGCTAGTCTTAGAAAATATGATCTGCCACAATTTTTGACTGGGTTATAACCACATAAAAATAATAAAAGTATTAGGATTAGAACTGGGAAGAAACATGGAAAAATAAATGATTGATTTTTAAAATTTTCTATTATTCTGATTATATTCTTTGGCCAATAAGTACATAATTATTAATAAAATTATATTGACAAAAATTAAGCTGACAATACTTCAGAAATTATCCCTGGGGGTAACCCAAGCTTTTCCCTTTTACTCCTTTATTATAAAATCCTACTGTTCTCACTGTTTCGTTTTTTGTTTTTTGGGTTTTTTTGTTTTTGTTTTGTTTTGATTTTGAGACAGGATCTCATTCCCTCACTCAGGCTGGAGTGCGGTGGTGTGATCTTGGGTTGCTCCAGTCTCAAACTCCCAGACTCAAGCAGTGATCCTCCCACCTCAGCCTCCCAAGTAGCTGGGACTACAGGTGTGTGCCACCACACCTGGCTAATTTTGCTTATTTTTTGTAGAGACGGGGTCTCACTATGTTGCCCAGGCTGGTCTCGAACTCCTGGGCTCAAGCAATCCTCCTGCTTCGACGTCCTAAAATGTTGGGATTACAGGTGCGAGCCACTGCACTTGGCCTGTTCTCACCCTTAATTCACTGCGTCAGCAACATCCCTCCCATCATCGCGAGATGGGCCCGCAGCAGAGGCCCCAGTGCCCGCACGAGCCTCATCCATATATGCCACCTTCCCCAGGCCTTCATAGCACAACCTCACCTCCAAGGGGGCAGCCTCGTTTGCAGACAACCTCATCTTTTAGTTACTGAAGAATAAAGGGGAAGGGGCACATCTCTGGTCTCATCTATTAAGAGACCCTCATCTCCACCCGAGAATTCCTGAGTTCTCACTTGCGGTGGGGTTACAACCACATAAAAATAATAAAAGTATTAGGATTAGAACTGGGAAGAAACATGGAAAAATACATGATTGATTTTCTAAAATTTTCTGTTATTTTGATTATGTTCTTTGACCAGTAAGTACGCAATTATTAATAAAATTATATTGACAAATATAATTTCCTTCTTGGAGAGAGAGGTCCTTTCCTGCACAAGGCCAGTCCTACCACCTGTCCTCTTAATCATCCCTCTTCAACTTCTTCCCAAGCTGTCCCACTCAACCATCACACTCAAAAGCCTCCTCTTTTTCCTAGCATCTTTCATCTTTGCTCATTGGCTGGATCTTTTCTCTCCACCTACAGACATATCCAGGTGCCCCATAATCCTGATCATGCAACCCACTGAACGTGTCATCTGATTTTTTATTCTTCACCTACTCCAGTAACAAACTCATCAAAGGAAACACTCATTCTAGCTGTTTTCATTTCATCAGCCACTCACGCCCCAACACCAGTGGTTTACCTGACAGATTTCCTTCCGACCACTATGGTCATCTGCCTTCTTAAATGTCATTTTGATCTCCTACTTGTCAGATTGAATGACCCTTTCTTCATCTTCATCCTCCCTTCCTCTTGCAACTTTAGATTGTGTTGTTCACCACCATCTTCCTAAACTTCTCTTTCCAAGCTTCCCAGGACCATCTCCCCGGCTCTCCCCTCACACCTCCGAGCTGCCTTTCTGCATTTCGCTCTTCCCGTCACTGGCTCCTGCAGCCCAGTGTTCTCATGATACTCACATTCTTTAGCTGAGTTTAATGATTCCCATGCTTCTATTACCCCTGAATGACCCCTTCATGAAACTGAAAATGTAATGCATACTACATCTTGGATGTGCAACATCATAAGTGCAACTGTTAAATAAGGCCTATCGCTAGTAAAGTTTAATCAGGCTGGATAACTATAAAAGCCCTGGAAGGTGCCTCAGTCTCTCTTGAATTACAGCACACAGGCTTGCATCTGGCATGGCCTAGCTCTGCAAGAAGAGGCCCTGGCCTTGTGGGTGCTGGTCTAGTCTTCTGGGAGGGCCCCTTGCTCTCCAGGGTGATATTCTTGGCTGACCCATTCCCTGTGTGCTTTATGGCCTCTGATCTTGAACCCCCAGCTGTCTAGCTTGGTCCTGGGGAGGTCCTTGGGTGATGGAGCCCCATCTTAACTGTCCCTGGCAGCACAATTCTTACCCCTAGACCCCACCCCACACCCCCTAACTTCGCCTTCTTTTTCCCTTGGAGGGAGCAGGGTTTCTTCTAATGCCATAGCTACCTTCATCTACATTTTCACCACCGGAGCCTTAAGACAGGGTAGGGGGCCTTCCTGTTGATGAGCTAATTGAGGAAGAGGGAACTGAAGGAATTCAGTGACTCCTCTCTCAGGATAATATCCTGGTTTGAAGACCATTGTCCTGCCACATAATCATATTTTGAATGTCAAAAGTTGAATACCAACCTGGCCTTTTTCTAGGCAATCTTTCTCTAACAGGTTCTAATCTCTTCCCAGATATATGACTGCCTACGGCAGACTTTGTGTAAAGGTCACAGACTCACGAAGACAAAAGTGACAAATCTCATGCAATTTCAAATTATTTCTCCAGTTACAATCTTGAATCTCTATCCATCCTAACCCAGTGGCTTTTCTGAGCTCTAGTTTTTAATAGCTAACTGCCCATGAGACATCTGCAACTCTAAAGCCAAACTTACTATCTTCCTGCTCTTCTTCCAGTCTGAAACCTGCTTTTCTTCCAATGTCCCCAGTATCAAAGTTTAAGACCAGGTGTTTTTCAAATCCCGGGGCTCCAGCCTTTTATTCCCAGAGATTCTGAGTGGGGCTTAGGAATCTGCATCTTTAACAAGTAGGCCAGGTGGTTCTGAGTCTGACGGAAGTGGCATGGGAACCACATTTGGAAAATGCACTCCAAGCCCTGCAAGGCAGGAACCAGATCTGGAGGAGAGAGCAAACCCCACCTGTGAACTCCCCTGTCCCTCCCATCATCTTGCTTCAAGACATCACCATTTGCCCATTTGCCTAGTTGAGAAGCCTGGGAGTCCTTCTCTCTCACTACCCAGCCCTTGACCATCGACTGACCTGTCTTCCAAGTGCTCTTGCTTCTGCCCTCCCCTGGATTTCCCCTCCCATCACCTGATCCAGACCTGTGTCAGTTTTCACTGGAAGGCTACGCTGTCCTACTGATAGCTGTCCCAGCCAGAGCAGCCCTGATCTAATCTGCCCACTGCACCAGCTCCTTTAATCACTTCCCCTTCAAGGCCTACAGTGGCTGCCAAGTTCTTCAGCCCAAATCCTTCACAGCTGAGGCCAAGCCTCCAGCTGAGCCTCACTACCTGCTCTCCTCCCTCACAGAGTCAAACTGTGGACTTGCCGTTCCTCCACCGTGCCAGGGCCTCCACATCCCCTGTGCCTTGGCTCAGGCTGTGTCCCTCACTTGGGCAATCCAAGCCTGGCACTCCACAGGTACTTCCTCAATGGGCCTCTGGGGAGTAGAGTTTGGGGGACATCCAAAATGGCACTACTTTCCTCTCCTCCCACCGGCCCCGTGCCACATTCTGAGGTTCACCTGCTCAGCGGGGCTGGGTCCCTAGAAGCCATGGAAGAGCCTAGCCTGGCCTCCAAGGTGCCCTATGCCAGATGGGCAGCTCTGTGGCCTTCCAGCCCTGACACCCTGGGTGATCTTGAGCAAAGATCCTTCACCTCGTGGGCCTCAGTGCCTTCATCTGAGAATGGAATGTGGATGGAGGGATGAGTTGCAATAGGCAATGCATATGATTTCCACCGGCTCCATTCCCCTGTAAATTCTTTGTTGTTGTTGTTGTTGTTTGTGAGATGGAGTCTCACTCTGTCACCCAGGCTGGAGTGCAGTGGTATAATCTCAGCTCACTGCAACCTCCACCTCCCAGGTTCAAGTGATTCTCCTGCCTCAGTTTCCTGAGTAGCTGGGATTACAGGCGCCCACCACTACACCCAGCTAATTTTTGTATTTTTAGTAGAGACGGGGTTTCGCCATGTTGGCCAGGCTGGTCTCGAACTCCTGACCTCATGATCTGCCTGCCTCAGCCTCCCAAAGTGCTGGGATTACAGGTAAGAGCCACCACACCCGGCCTCCTCGGTGTAATTTGCATAGCAGCACCAAATAGAGTTGTGTTTAAGCCCTCAGGGAGGTGGCCACTCAGACTCCTATCTCTAGTGCCCCAGCCTTAGACCCGATTTCATGGAAGGTCTGGGGCTGGATTTCATTCCCATCCCAGGAGGGGCAAAAGGACCATGGAGAAAGAATCTCTGGGAGTGGGGACGCTACTCAGATCTGAGATAAGAGAAAGGGTCCCACCAACTCTTCACCTCAACCTCAGTCTCTGCTGTCATCACCATGGAAATCTACACTCTGGCGGGATGGATTTTTTGGTTTTTTCCCTAAGACGTTTGTACTTAGATTCCAACCCCGCCCCAGGGTTTCTGAGGAAAAGTTGCTTTTGGAAAATTCCCACCCAGCCCCAGCTGATCAAAACGGAAGAAGGATTTTTCCACAGGGGGCTCTGGGTTGGTGTGGGATTTAGAGCCCCCGGCAGCCATTTGTCTGAAGGAACGAGGAGCTGGGTTAGACAGAAAGGGGAGTCCCAGGTGGGCTAGAGCTGAGGTCAGCCGGGAGGGCTGGAGCTGAGGTCAGCCGGGCAGTGCTTCCCCTCGGACCCCACCACCCTCTCTCGGCATGGATAGGGGTGGAGTTTTCATTATCTGACTTGCTCTTCTAGAACTCAGCACTTGGGTTTCATCTGAATCCTAATTATCCAATATATTAAATCAAGCGATAAGATAAACATTTTTCCATCTCTTTCTATCCCTAAGAGCCTCTGGTGACT